CTCCTATGGAGCACTTAACAAATGGTTGTTCTTGAGCTTGCCACATGACCAGTTGGCTCCAGCCCAGGAACATGTCTGGGTGGTTGGTGGTGGGATAAAGATTCCTGGAAGTCCTCTGTATTCTGCAGGTACACTTGCAGTGTGTATGGCTAGCCACTTCTTAACTTCTGCACCCTGAGTCCCTTACCCTGGTCCCCACTGCACTGTAGATTCTGGGTTTGGGATTGTGGAGTCAGGGCAGAGCTTAGCTTTTGACCTGTGTCAGGTGTGGAGTCTGGCTGCTGGCCTGGAGGCTGCAGTGGGGCGGTGGTGAGTTGCTTTGTGGAGCCTGGGGTCCTTACCCTCCAGGTGTGGACCTATTCTGGGCAGGGGTGTGGCTGACAGGGGCAGACCCTATCTGCTTTGTGTTTCTGCCGTGAGTTGCTCCCCAGCCCTGAGAGACAGCCCCGGTGCTGCCTCAAACGCCATCAGGCGGGGGCGGGATGTCGCCGTTGTCACCTCGATTGCCCTATCCGTGAGATGGGCAGGGAGAGGATGGAGGATGGGATGTGGCAGCTTTTGCTAGGAGCTGATGTTCTGAGGGGCAGTGGGAGATTGTGGTCTGTGTGTGTATGTGTGTTTACATGTTTTTTCCTCTGCTTTTGTGAATGTGTCTGTGTGTTTCTGTGTCCAGGTGTGTGTCGTGTATGTGTGTGTGTTTCTAGGTGTTTGTGTGTTTCTCTATGTCTTTCGGTGTAGGTGTCTGTGTGTCTGTGTCTGTGTGTCTCTTTTATGTAGATGTCAGTGTTTCTGTGTGTGTGTCTGTTTTTATGTGTTTCTGTGTATGTGCATCTCTGTGTATTTGTGTATATTTTTGTGTATATGTCTCTGTTTCCATGTATGTTTTAGTCTGTGTGTTTCTGGGTATGTGTTGTTTTGTGTGTATCTTGTATGTTCTCTGTGTTTCTGGATGTGCGTGTGTGTGTGTGTGCACGCCTGTATGTATGGTAGAAAGCTCCTGGTAAAAGGCCAAGCAGAGGTGGAGGTCAAGGGCTCAGTGTCCCTGAGCGCATGGGCAGGTGCCAGCGAGGGTAGCTAGGGGCCTGTCCTGGCTTATTTACCTCTGGCGTGCCAGGCAGTGTTCTTAGCACCAGGAGAAGAGGTGCTTACCTTTTAGGGAAAAGACAGACGCTGAGATAAAGAATATAGAGACTGTGTTGGAGAGTGCTGGGTACCAAGACGGAAAATAACCAGGCAGAGGGGACAGGAGGACAGACATGGGCGCGCATGCGTGCGTGTGTGTGTGTGTGTGTGTGTGTGTGTGTGTGTGTGTGAAGGAGGCTGCAGCTCTAGCTAGGTGATCCTCCAGGCAAGCTCTGAGACGCAGGCCAGAGCCCCAGATGGTCTGGGAGTTGCCTGCTGGCCCAACCTCCCTGCAGGGCCTACAGAAAAGGAGTCCTGGCTCTCGGGTCACCTGGTCACCCCATAACCCCAGCACTGACCCCGGGAAAGAAACAAGCAGGACTCAGACCCAGGAGACCTGGCGGGATGGCCATACATACCTATGGGCTGTTTCCCATGCTGCTAGAAAACGTTGGGAGACTTAGGTCTGGTGGGAGTTGGGGGAATATTGAGCCCCTAGGAAAGCATCTGGACCAAAGAGGAGGGGCATCTGACAGCTGGCCAGTGTCGCCTGTGGCTGGGCTCCAGCTGGCACTGGGAAAGGACGAAGAGGGTACGGTGCTCAGCTGATGGTTGGCAGGGAGAATGGGCCACCCTCGCACTGCTGCGGCCTGTGCATCTTCCCCGTGGAGGCCCCTGGAGGAGGGGGCAGGGTGCACCTGGGGGGTGCAGGGTGCCGACCTGAGGGTAACCCTCTGGCCTTGTGACTGGCCTGTGAGGAGAGTTGGTTGCTGCTGGCTGCTGCTCAAAGTGCCTTGGGTGCTTTCTTTGCGCTGAGCCCTACAGGCCAGCCCACTGTGGTCCCTGGAGGAGCAGGGAGACTTGCTCTGAGGGGGCACAGGCTGCCAACAGCTGAGAGCCTCAGTGTAGAGCCTGCTAGTTTGTTGGCCAGCCCTGGAGCTCAGAGGCTCAGAGGAACCAGTTAGAAACACACATCCTCAGGTACTCCCGTGGGTCTGAGCAATTCAGCTGGGTGCTGGGCTTGTTGGAAGTCCTGATCCAGAGGAACAGGAGGGCTCTCCGGGGCCCATCTGCACCCTGCAGAGTTGAGCTTGGTGTCCTGGCTTTCCGTCTTGGTTCCTTTGTTAGGGGGACAGTGCATATAAAAGGGACCTGTGTTCACATCCCTTGGGAGCTCAGAGAGGAGGCAGGAGTCCTGCCCTACCCCAGGTGTCCATTTGTATCTGGTGGAGTCCTGGACAAGAAGAAGCAGCCTTGGGGCTGGGGGAGGTGGGGAAGGATTGCCCAGGACCCTAGCAGGGGTGATGGAGCTGGTTTATTGCTAGAGGCCTGGTGGTGGTGGGGATTAGCAGGTAGCTACGGAGCAGGTGCACCTGATGTACTACTCCCAAGGGACTCATTTGTGTGCTCCCCAGGGTTTGAGAGCAAGGATTCTGGGGGTGAAGGGGACCAAGAGTGAGATTTGGAACTGAGCTGGGAAGGGTAGAGTATGACATCGTCATTCCTCCTGTTCCTGTGCCAGAATCCAAGTGGGGTGAGGAGGGCATACCTGGGCTGTGCCTACACCCTGTCCACCTGCTTGGCCCTAGAGCAGCTCAGGAAGCCCTGCTGTGGCTTCTAGGCAGTGAGGTGGGGCTTCCAGGCCCGTTTGAAGAAACAGCGCTGCTGTCTTGAGCTTAGCTAGCTTCCTCCCTCCATCCCCATCTTTGGCCTGCCTCTCTCTCTCATTATTTTTATTGCAAAGTCAGATATACAGAGGGAGGAGGGACAGAGAGGAAGATCTTCTATCCATTGATTCACTCCCCAAGTGACTGCAATGGCCAGAGCTGTGCTGATCTGAATCCAGGAGCCAGGAACTTCCTCCAGGTCTCCCACATGGGTGCAGGGTACCAAGGCTTTGGGCCGTCCTCCACTGCTTTCCCAGGCCACGAGCAGGGAGCTGGAATGGGAAGGGGGGCAGCTGGGATAAGAACTGGTGCCCACATGGGATCCTGGCATGTTCAAGGCGAGGACTTTAGCTGCTAGGTTACAGCTCTGGGTCCTGGCCTGCCTCTCCTTTGGACATGTGTTGCTTGCCCTCTGGTGCCGTGGGTAGGACTGGGGTGTGCTGCTCTGAGACCTTCTCCCACACAGTCCATGGGTAGCGTGGTAGAAGCTGCTTTCTTCCATGGGCTCCAGGTCCCACTGAGCCAGTCCAGGCCCTCTGCTGTCACTTTTCTGAGTGGGAGATATAACCCTGGAGGTTGTGGGTGGGCATGGTCCTGGCATAGGAGGTCTCCTATTCCTGCTTTTCAGAATGCCTTTACTAGGAAGCCCTCCTGATGGTCTGGGCAAGGTGAGAGGTCAGGGGTCAGAGGTCAGAGATCAGACCACAGAGGGGCGGATGGTTGTTGAAGGCCCACTGTGTGTTAAGAGCTTGTCCCAGCTGCGAGGGAGTTTTTAACTGAGTTTGTACAAAATGTAGTTTTGAGTCTTCTTTTGGATGAAGGAAGAACGAGAATTTTTAATATGTGGGGACTTCAACAAATTCATGGCAAATGGGATTATAAACTTCTCTGGGACTGAGTGTTTGCTCCAGGGGTTAAGCTTCTAGTTAAGATGCCCATACATCCTACATTGGAGTGTTTGAGTTCAAGACCTGGCTGTGCGCCTGACTCTGGCTTCGTGCCGGTGCAGACCCCGGGAGGGCAGTGCTGCTGGCTCAGTAACTGGGTTCCTGTCACTCGTGTGGGAGCCCTGGATGCAGTGCTTGGCTCCCAGCGTGGGCCTGGCTCCTGCAGGCATTCAGGAGGTAGGCCAATGCATGGGAGCTGGCTTCTCTCGTTCTCTGCCTTCTGAAGAAACAACAGTTTTTAAAATTTATTTATTTATTTGAAAGGCAGAGTTTTTCCAGATAATGGTTTATTCCCTGAATGGCTTTTGGACCAGGACAAAGACTGGAACTCCAACCAGGCCTCTCGCATGGGTGCAGGAGCCTGAGAACTTGAACTATTCTCGGCTGCTTTCCCAGGGGAAAGTAGGAAGCTGGATTGGAAGTGGAGCAGCTAGGACTTAAATGGGCACTCATCTGGGAGGTCAGCATCACAGGGGGTGGCTTAATCAGTTAGGCCATGATGTTGCTCCCTCTCTTCCCTCTGCTGCCTTTTTCTTTTTTTTTTTTAAAGATATATACATTTTTCATGACCTTGTTGAAGACTTCTGCTAAAACTGCAGTGGGGGCAGACAGGACATATGCTTCATGGTAAGGTTACGCATCCTCCATGAACCAACTGGGTGGCCCAGATGGTGGCACCGACAGGCATTCAGAAGTGTGAGAGGGAGCTCTATCTGCCTAGGTGGTCAGGGAGGGCTTCATGGAGGAGGAGGAGAGGACTCCAGGAAGGAAAAGAGGGGATATCACCCCACAGGGAAGGCCAGGACGTGGGAACTGGATGTGAAGTCTGCGAGGACCAGGAGTGGGGCCTTCAGAGCCCACACAGAAAGAGGCCCTTGGTAGGCCTGTCTTCCTGGGCCATTGGGCTTTCACACTAAGGATCTGCAGGCAGAGCCCTGTGGGGGGTCCTTCCCTCCTTTTCCTGTGATGGCCTGGGGTCATGCCCTTAACTGCTCTCCCCTGTGAAGCTGTCAATCCTACCACCTGGTCGCTCTGCAGAGCCAACGCAACCGTGCAGGTGCAAGTATCCGACCTATGTGGATGCAGCCGTAGGCATGCAGCTCATGTCCTGGGGGCAGGCTCCATTCCCAGTGGGCTTCTGTTAGAGAGGAGTCCTGGATCTATGTCCCGGTCCTTGTCTCAGGAGTTCTTGTGTCCCTTGCTGCCACCAGTCCCTTGGGACATTGTGCTGAGCCCTCACCTTCTCTCCACCTTCTGTTCACAGCCCATCACCACTGAGAGCACACCGAAGAATGTAGTGGACATGGTGAGTGACAGCGGGTGACTGGGGGCAATGGTTGGACTGGGCAGGGTAGCTAGGTGGAAGGGAATTGTGGTGGTGCTGGTGATGCTGGGAGCTGGGGCTCTGCCTGTGCCTGGATGGTTTTTTTTTCTCTGTGTTGCTGTGGCACCAGGCAGGTGATCAGAGAGCGCGGGGAGGCTCTGAACGTGAACTCCTTTATTAGATAGGTAGGATATGAGAGTCATCCTCAAGGCTGGATGGTAGCGGAGGGAAACGCGCCTCCACAGTGGGAAACTGAGGCTGGCCCCTGAGAAGCACCTGCTGGCCAGCAGCAAATCACAGGCATGGAGATGGAGGACTTGGGTTCAAATCCTGACTCCACCAAGCTTCTAATTCACTGTAGGCACATTGGAGCCTGCCTGTGCTGTGTGTGTGTGTTTTAAAGATTTATTCTATTTTATTTGAAAGGCAGAATTACAGAGAGAGAGAAGGAGATGCAGAGATCTTCCATCTGCTCATTTATCCCCCAAATGTCTGCAATGGCTGGGGCTGGGTCAAGCCGAGGTCAGGAGCCAGGTGCCTCTTCCAGGTCTCCCACATGGGTGCAGGGGCTCAAGCACTTGGACCACCCCCTGCTGCTTTCCCAGGTGTAGTTGTAGGGAGTTGGGTCAGAGGTGGAGCAGTTGGTGCCCCTGTGGGATGCTGATGTAGGTGGCCACTTTACCCACTGCAGGTGCCTCAGCTTTATTAACTGCAAAATAGGAGTCATAGTATCTTCCATAGGAGTGATGGTGAGATTGTACATCAGGGACTTGGGCTAGCTCTGGGGAGTCCTGAGTGGACGAAACAGTATTGAATAGTAGCTTTCCCAACGGGGCCCTTCTGCCCATCCCTCGCTCCCTGCCCCCCTGCTGGAAGCCCCAGGGCACCATGGCTGGTTCTCTGATTGCCTGTCTCTGTCCATAGGGAGAAGGATCCTCCTGGGGTGGAAACACGCAGAAAAACCTGGAGGAGGAGGTAAGCAAGCTGTAGCCTGGAACCTGGAGCCTGGGAGAAGGCCAAGGCTGGGCCCTGTGGAGCTGCCTTCTGCTGTGGCCTTCCCCACCCTTCTCCAGAAGGGCAGGCCCCAGAACAGGGGCTGTCTCTCAGCCCTCTGAGCCTTTGGCTCAGCACGAGCCAGAGCTCCAAGATGCAGCAGGGAGAGCATGGGGTGGGGAGTGTGTCAGAGAGTCCTGGGAATGGGGAAAGCTGATGGGCCCAGAAGGAGGAAGGACATGGAGGGACGTGGGCTCTTGCAGGGCCATTTGAGGATATTGTTGGAGCTGCTGCTTCGGAGACAGGCATCTTGAAGAAGTTTGGGTCCTCTGTGTGGCTCAGCACTCAGGTCTCAGGAGGTCTCTGGGTCTCCGGTGTCTCCAGTCTCATGGAGTTTATGGTGGCAATGGGCAGGGGTGGAGGAATCAAAGGACAAACTCCCCAGACAGAAGGATCAAAAAAGAAGGGGCGCGGGGGTTCCTGCTCTGGCTCCCCCTGTGTGTGTGGGTGCATGGAGTCCAGCCAGGTCCCCCTGTGACGGCATGCCCCTGAGCTGGCCTCTGCCTCCTCACCCGCCAGGCCTGCAGAGGAACAGGGAGTGGTTTTGGCGGTTGGCACAGGGGGAGCTGTTGATGGCACGAGGCCCTATCATCTGACAGCTGCCTGACCCACGGCGGCTGCAGAGTCAGGGAGGGCCCTGGAGGGAGGTGCTGGGGGCAGTAACAGGTCCTCTTGTGGGTGGCCTCACCCCCTGCCCCGCTGCTGTGCTCTCCCTGGAGCCGCCTGGAGCAGCCAGTGCTATGGAGTGGAGGTGTCAGGTACAAGAGTATGGAGTCATGCCCCTCAGACTGATGGGGAAGACCCTCTTCAAGGTAGGTGTGGATTGCCAGGGGCACCAAGGATGTGTGTGGGGTAGGGTCTGTGTCCGTCCTGTGCTGTTCCTGAAGGGTTGGTTGCTGGGGGAGCAGTGACTTGTGTGTGCATGCTTGCTCCGGAGGGCAATCAAAGCATGTACTATGTACTCAATAAATGTGACCTCTCTTCCTTGGGTACTTTGACTGAGGGCTGGGGGCTGGTTTGGGGGTATTTAGATTTTCTTGACAGCCTCAATGGTAGATGGTGGATACTAGGATCCCGTTTGGAGTTACTCCACCACCAGAGTCCCTTCTGGCACTACTGCTCGGGTCTGGTGTCATCCAGGCCCCCTTGCCCTTGACCCTGAAGACAGGTGGTGGCTCACAACTGAAGCCTCTTAACCTGTAGCCTGGGCCACATCCTAGCGCAATAGCCTCCCTTATGTCCCCAGCTTGGGCCTAATGGATCCTGTAACTTGGAGCTACAATTGAGAGAAGTCAGACAGCAGGAAGGACCTTGGGCTGTGAAGCTGTGCATGACCTTGGTCCTGGAGGAGGAAGAGGGGGCAGCGGTTTTAGGTGTTGTTGCTCTGAGATGTAAGTGTGTATATGCGCATGCCTGTGTGTGTATGGGGTGGACAGGGAGGCGTCTCCCGTCTGGGCCTGTTGTTCTGCTTAAAGGAGCCTGCGAGGTGAGCAGATTGAGCCTGCGAACCAGAGAGTCGGGGAGAAGGTCCCCGCCTGGCCATGGGACTCTTGCATGTTGCCCGTGGTGGGCCAGTTGGGAGGCGGTGTCCTTACAGCACCCCCCACCCCCAGCCCGCTGCTGGGCTGCTCAGGGCCTGTTTGTGAGCTGTTTTCCTCTCTCTGGCCGGAGGCCCGGGACTCCTGGGGCAGGAGTGGCTGTTTGCCTCCGGCCCACTTGGTGCGTAGTGGAGTTTGTGGATGGTGTGCTGGGTCGCACTTTGTTTTGGAAAAATCCAGGCTGGTGGGCAGGAAGGAGAGAGGAAGGGGTGTGGTTGCACAGGGTTGTTAGGGAGGGCTTGGAGGGGGGCACTGGCCACAGCCCCCAGAGGAGATGGAGGAATGGGGATGGGCCCCTGACCCGGCCAACGTGCTGCGGCCTGACACGGCCCTGCTGCTTGCCTCCCCTCCCTCCTCCGGCCCTGCTCCCTGGGGACCTGGGCTCAGGAAGCTCCGGCTGGGTCAGCCATGGTTGTGTTTGGTCTGTGAGCCCCAACAGAGGCGTTGGCTGGTAGGAGACCTCACCCAGGCACCCAAGGCCTTGGGGTTCCTGCTGAAGCTGCAAGGGCGGGCAAGAAAAAAGGAAGCAAAGAGGAGCGACCAGTGAGAGTCCAAGTGATGATCGGAGCAAAAAGAGTCAGCTGGAACTGCAGCAGGAAGGATGAGGGTTAGATAGCGGGAGGGACTTCCTGGCGCAGTGTAAAGTAAAGCCACTGTTTTAGGGGAAGCTATGGAATGTCCTTTCATGGTGTCCTTTCAGCAGAGGAGGAGGGCCCGGTGTCCTGGCGATGGGCAGGAGAGAGTCCTGTTTGGTGCCTGTGAGGGCTGGATCAAAAGTTCTATTATTGGCCCCCTGTTTTTAGGAAGGACTAGGAGGAAGTTCAAAGCTACGTGGGTCAAGGGCCTTGAGATTCCCCAGAGAGGAAAAGAATGGGATTACAGGCGGGCTGAGAGCTTTTTTTTCTTTTAAAAATAAAGTTCATCGGGACCTCTTTTTCCCAGCGGCTTTTCAGGGGTGTAAGGAGGCAGTGTTGTGAGCCCCATGTTGTTCCCATTCCATGGATGAGAGAAGGGACCGCAGTGGCCTCTGGATCTTTGGGGAGCGTCTTTGTGCAGTGCAAGTGCAGGGAGTCCAGGGACTTCCCCTACCCTGCTCCCCGGCGCCGCCTTCTCAGTGAGCGCCCACCCGGTGAAGGTGTTGGTGCGGCTGTGGCCGGTCCTGGGACTTTGTCCACCTGTGCTTGCTACAGCAGCATCCACACCCACGCAGCCCACCCGGCCTGGGTCCCTACGTGTCATCACCGTGTGTGTCTGCGTCCTGTCAGCACGGTCACATGCCTCTGCACTGTACAGACAACAGGAAGCCCCGTTGGAGACAGGGCGGCCCAGTGATTCACCAGGGGATGACACTCCTCCGGCTGCAGCTCGGTCCTCCTCTGAGGGGTTGCTCTCCCAGGTCGCTGTCCTGGTCATTGCCGTCATGCCTGCCCTTCCCGGCCAGCTGGGGGCAGCCAAGCTGGTCTGGACTTTGCCTTATCACCTCTGGAGGCAGCCTGGCCAGGCTGTGTTGGGCCAAGTTTTTATTTATCTTCCCTGGCTTTTTTTTTTGTGTGTGTGTGGGGGGGTGGGGAGACGGAGGAATGCAAGTGTTGTAACGTTTGCAAAGGGGGTGGTGGTGGCAGAGAGAAGGGAGCCAGGTCTCCTGCCTGGCTCATCTTCCTCATCCCTTCCCTGCTGCACCTTGCGTTCAGTATCCTCCCCCAGCCCTCCTGTCCCCCTTTGCCCACTCCTGCCCCCTCTTGGGGCCTGAGAGGGCCTGAGATCCATGTGCTTGGCCACACCTCAGTCTTGGCTGCCTTGTGGCTTCCAGTTGTTGGAAGCAGCTGTGGTGGCTTCCTCCAAAAGCAGCTGTGGAGCAGGAGCAGATGAAACCCCAGGGGCTATTTATAGCGAGGTGGCCCCGGGGGGCCTGGAGTGAGGCCCGGGGCCTGGGAAGAGTCTTTGCCTCCTCATCAGAGCCCAGCAGAGAGGGAGATGGATGGAGTGCTGGTGTCTGCTGGGGCCTCTGGGCGGGGAGTTTTGGCACAGCCTGGTTTGGGGCTTGCAAACCAAACACAACCACTCCCGACCCTTCTCTCCACCCCGCCTGACTCATGCAGAGCCCAGTCCTTGGAGGCCAGAGGGGTTGCGAGGCTGTGAAACTGCTCCGCCTGGCAGCCCCACACTCGACTCCGTCTTCCTCCCGCTACCGGTCTGCTGTACTAGCTCAGGGGCAACCCAGGCTGAGTGCAGAGTCTTCCCTCCGCCAGTGGCTCTGACCTTGGCCTCAGGTGGGAGTGGGGCTCAGAGCTCACCTGCCCCCACTCCTGACCAGGAGTGGGGGTGAGCAGGGGATCATCTTCTTGGGGGATGCCAGGGAGCAAGTCCCCGAGGCAGAGGGTGAATGCTGCTTGGTTATCAGCTCTCTGGGCACATTGGGGCGGGTGAGTGTCCTCCGGTCTCAGTTTCTATCCTCCTTGGTCCCTTCCAAGAGGTGGTAGAGACTTGGTGGGTGGGACTGGCTGATTTGTGGGTGGGTGTGCGGGGAGGGGTGCACGCAGGTGTCTGGGAGGCATCAATGGGCTCCAAGGGCTCAGGAAACCTGGGAATTGGGGGATTCTGCATTCAGCCAGGGGGCTGAAGGAGGTTGCTTGTAGGAGTGGAGTAGGCGTCCTCTTTTCCATGAGGCAGAAGAGTGGCTGTGACAGCACTCAGCAGCCACTACTGACTGCCAGGCGAGAGGCAGTGGGCTCTTGCGCATGGTTTGTTGGCATCCTCATGCAAGCTGCTCATAGTTGTCCCATTGATCGCCGGGCGGGGCAGGTGGCTCCCAGGAGCTCCACCCTGGAGGAGCCTGGGACGTAGTCCCTGGGGAACATGGGCCTTGATTGTGTGCATTCTCCTGCTACGCTGGGGCGTTTGAATGCCAGGTTGGCTTGATTCTGCCTGAGTTGGTGTCTCCCCACCCAGGAACAGGAGAGGTGAGATGCAGTGGCAGAGACTGGGTCTTAGAAAGTGGGACTCCTTGCCTTACAGCCCTCGTCTCTGGCCCTGACACCCCTTGGCTGTTCTCCTCATCTGAAAACTTGCCACTGAGGGACGGGTACAGTTCCTGCCAAGGAGGGATGGGGTGCAGGTTGGTAGTGGTCAGGGCAGCCAGGTGCACACCATTGCACAAGCGTGCTGGTGTCTCATGCTGCCTGGAGTGTTCCTGGTGGACCCCAGCCCCACGGTGGGATCTCAGTGGTGCAGCAGCTGTTGGCTGCCTGGGTGTCCTCTATGAGAATGGCACCAGCCACACAGCCCTGAGGTTCTTTCTGTCCCCATGGGCTTCCAGGCAGGTGGATACCCTCACATGAAATTGGCATGGGCTGTTTTTGGCTTTGGGGAGCTAAGACGCTAGAGTGGCAGGGCTGGAATGTTGGCAGAGAAAGGAGAAAAGAATGTGTGTGTGGCCATGGCCCTGAGCACTGTGTGGACAGCTCCCTGAGGCTCTCCTGCTGTCCTTTCTGGCCCTCAGCATAACACTCCTCTCCTGTTCAACCTCCCCTCCTCCAGAGCTCCACCAGAGTCACTCCAAGTGTCCAGCTCCAGTCCCGGCCAATCAGGTAAGTTGTGGCATGTGAGAGTCAGGGATGAGAGTACGGGCAGTGGGGTTACTGTGGATATTACTGCCAAGTCTTGCCTCTGGGTCCCCCAAAGCCACCATGTGAGACCGATGCCACTTGGCAGCCATTGTGTTTGGAGTTCCAGCTCCCAGCCAGGATCTTGAGCTGGATTCTTAATTTACTTGCATGAGCTCATCTCACCCAGCAAGGTGTGTCTGATGGTAGACAGAGCACTGCGTTGCAGAGGGAGAAGGTGACTTGTTAAAGGTCATGTGCCCCAGAGGTCTGTATGCAGTCCCAGCCGGTACCTGCCTGTGCTGCCTCTCATTGCTCTGAAACCACAGCACTTCTGACCACCGAGCCGTTTGTAACTGGAAAGCTCTGGTTCATCTCTTGTCCCCGGTAGATGCTAGGACAAGGACATGCACGGGGGTTGTTCTGTGCCTTACTGGTCCAGAGGTGGCTTCCTCTCTGCTTCCCCTGCACTCTCTGAGGCCCCCAAGAGGGAGCGGAAGGCTGTGTGACCCAGCCCCTGGTTGCATTTGGGCGGGCTTTCAGATGACCCCTGCATGGTCCTATAGCAGATAACAGCTGGGTGGGGTGGAGGTGGAGGATGCTCAAGTTGTCCACCTGGTGGCGCTGTTCTGCTTTCCCAGGGGAATCAACCAGAAGAGGGCCAGCAAGAGTGCGGATGGGTTCCTTGTGACTCCTGTTGTCCCTATTTTGTCCTCCTTGCTTCTGTGGAACTGTGGAAGAGCTGCTCACAAGTGTTTCTGGCAGTCTGTTCCCCTTGGTGCAAAGACGAGATGGGTTGGAAGGTGGGGAGAGAGGATGCTGCAGGATAGCTGAGGGTCCCTGTCCATTTTCTAAGAGGACTGTGTGTGTGTGTGTGTGTCTTTTTGCCCCAGACAGCCTGCCACCTGCAGAGCTATCCCTGGGAAGGTTTTGGATGGCTGGGTGGCTGGGGCCAGGTGTTGAGTCCTCCTGTACCCCAAGCCTGAAAAGCCACCCTGTGTCCTTGACAGCCACCCTTCCCCTCCCCCCTCCTCATTTCATGCCCCATCTAGATTCATCCTGCTGGGTGCCTAGGTTCTTATAGCAGCTTAATGACCTGGGGTCCATCGTCCCCCCTCCACTACCTTTAAGACCCTGTGGGGAGGCAGGTGTTTTCTGCTTCCCTTGCTGCAGGGAAGAGTTAGAAAGATGAGGTGTCCCTGGGGATGCAGGGGGAGTGCCACCCTGGGGCTGGGGAGAACGCAGGTGCACTTGGGAGCTACAGGTGAGCCACCTCGTCCCTGCCCCTGGATGGAAAACCAGGAGAGATGTCAAGAAGCAAGCTCTCCCTTCTCTCTTCCCCTCTCCTGCCAAGCCCAGGGGACCCCAGTCTCTCAGAGGAACACTTGGTCTTGGGGGCCACTCTCTGGTTTCCTGGGCCGTTAGGTCTCAGAGAGGCTACTGCCCAGGAGTGTGTGGCAGGAGCTGCCACCGGAGGCAGCAAGAGAGCCAGAGAACAAGGAACAGCGGCCCATCTGTCTGCCTCCTGGTGGGGCATGAGGAGCAGGAATGTGCCCTGTGGTCTGCCTACCTGGTGTCCATTCCCCTGAGAGGTCTCCTGCTCATTGCCCAGCCGCAGTGCCGGGAGGCAGTGGGAGGCTCAGTCCTTGGCTCCTGAGAGTACCCTGCCCGGCTTGCCATCCTCTTCCATGCAGTCCTGGGATGCTTCTGAAAGACTGCCTGGCCAGGCAGCGGCTGTGTGGGGCAGGAGGCAGAGCTGGACTCCTAGGTCCTGCTCAGATGTCTGGAATCACAGGAAAGTGTTAGGATTGCTGAGAAGCAAGTTGGTATCCTTGAGGCTGTCTAAGGGCCCTTGTTTGCCTTTGCTTAGCTGGCCGGTATAGGCACTTCCAGGACTGGCTAACCCTGGCCTTGGCCTTGGTGTAGGACCTTGATCCAAGCTGGCTGTGGAGTGATTTAGGCTGTCAGAAGGTGCAGGTCTCTGGGGCTTGAGGGCAGGTTCTGATCTAGAACTTCTCCCCACCCCACCCCACCCCACTGCTTGCTGTCTCCTTAGAAACGTGAGCGTGACCCAGACCATGGAGGACGACTGTGAGCTGGACCTGGTGTATGTCACAGAGAGGATCATCGCCGTGTCCTTTCCCAGCAATGCCAACGAGGAGAACTTCCGGAGCAACCTGCGGGAAGTGGCTCAGATGCTCAAATCCAAACATGGAGGCAACTATCTGGTGAGGATGCTGGGGAAGGGTGGCAGGGGGGCCGGGAGGAGGTCCCTTCCACTGGCTCGCCACCTTCACTGTGGGTGGTGTGTGCACCTGGCCCTTAAAAAGACTTGCTTTACTCCTCCCTGGGACCCAGTTGTTCACTAGGTTCCTCCCCACCCTCCAGCCAGCCCAGCTCAGTTCTAAGGATCAAGAAACCACTCTCTGTGTACCAGGAGGAGAGAATTTGACAACATGAGCTGCAATTACTGAATGCTGTCTGTTTGCCTGGCCCTGTTCACCACTTTGCACCTTGTTCAGCACCTTGTGACAGCTGTGGGAAGTAGGTGCTTACTTGCTGGAGGTCACAGGTTGCAAAGTGCTGGACTGGCATGGCGTTGGAACTTCTGGGAAGTCTTAGGAGAGAAATGAGGCCACAGGCATCTTTAGGGTCCTTGTGTTGCTGGCTCAGAGGACTGGCCCACCATGTAGATGACGGAGAAGGGCTGACCTGAGCCTTGGCCCCAGAGGAGGGCTCAGGTCTCTTACTGGGAAGCACACCCAGTCTGGCTCTGCAGGCTGGCCTCAGGGCGTTGCACCAGACAGGGGTTGCAGGAGGCTGCAGTGGCATCCTGGCTGTGCCCTAACCAGTAATCCTAAACTTGATGGCTTTAAGCTTGGATTCTACCCCAGTTCTGGGGGCTGGCTTGCAGCAGAGCAAGTCCTGCGTAGCTCTCCTGGCTGCTGCTGTCTCCTAGCACTCCTTGGCATCCCTTGGCTTGCCGCCTTGCCCCTGCAGCCCGTCACATTGCTTTCCATCGGCACGGTGGTTCTCTGCATACCTTCTCTGCTTATGTGGACATCAGCTGGTGGACCCAGGGCCTGTCCTCCATCTGGGCCGTTCCTGTCCTGAGATCCTTTGCTGTTTGTCAGCATGTTTGTCTGCCTTTTATAACGTCACTAGGGGGTCCTGGAGGAGCTTCTTGGGAAAGACACAGTTGATTTTAGCTGGCAGTCCTAGAGCTTGTAGTTTAGGACGGGGTAGCTCTACAGGCTGATGTTGGGGGGTGTGTCTTGGGGCGTGGTGGCATGGTCATGTGATGAGTTGGGATGCAGAGTCACCATAGCCGGACAGAACTTGAGCTTGGTTCCTTAGAGTTCTGGGGGATGCACTTCTGGTGACCCAGTACCTCCCACCAGGCCCCATTCTTATATGCCATCAGTTTCAAAGCAGGGCCAGTTTCTAAAGTTGGCTCCTTGACCTTTGGGGGCTGCGTCGCAGCCACCCTCGGAGGCCGGCCTGTCAGCTGTGTTAGGCATTGCTGTGAGCCTTGACTTGAAGCATCATAAAGTCCTGGTTTTAAATTCCGACTCTGGGCCACTTGGTTTTACCCTGCTTCAGGTTTCCCTTTCTGTAAAATGGGCCTAATTGCACCACAGCCTCCTTGATGGCTGAGGAGGGAATTAAGCCACTGCCCATGGCTGACTTGTGGGGGACTCCTGCTGAGTGGCAGCTGTTGTTCATTGGTGCTCCTGGGCAGGGCACAGGAGTAGCCTGGAAGGCACCTTTGAAGGGAGGATACCTATGGGGTCAAGGGTTAGAGGAGGGCCCCTAGAGCAGCTGGCCCCTTCTGATGATGGAGTGGGCACAGCGTCCAGCAGTTGAGATGGTACATCTTCCCCAGGCAAGATTATCAAGTCAGTCTACGAGTGGCACGCCACTCCTGGGTTCTGTCTCTTACCATGCCCCTCTGCTGCTCAGGGCATTGGCTCCTTGGGGGCAACAGCAGAGCGTCTGCTGGCTTCTCTCCTCCCGCTCCTCCCTGACAAGTGGCCACACATTCATGCTGTGTTGGGGGTGAGCAGGATTTCAGCTAGGGGCAAGAGGGGTATGGGAAGAGAAGCAGAAGTGAGCCCAGGAGGTACAGCAAGTAAGGGCTGGCCTGGGTCCCAGACGCCTGGCTGTGGGAGTGCAGGGACGTTGTGTCTAGAGGGGCCAAAGGTCTTGAGAAGGGGCTGGAGCTGGCACATTTGTCCATCCTATTCCCGGTATGACCAGTGGTTTCCTGGGCGGCCATATTTCTCCGGGTCCCTGCTCATGACCTTGCCTTTTCTCTCCCTCTAGCTGTTTAACCTCTCTGAGCGAAGAGCTGACATCACAAAGCTGCATGCCAAGGTGAGGCGACAGTTGCTTTGGGACAGGAGGGGGAGGGGGTAGGAGAGAGAAGGGGGGAGGGGGAGTATCCCCCCTCCACATGAATGAAATAAGGGCCCTCACCTGGAAATGACACTGTGATGCTCTGAACAGCCTTTGCAAGTTGAAGGGCCTGCTTTTTAAAAGTTTGTAGATTTATTTGAAGGGCATAATTACAGAGAGAAAGGAGACGTCTTCCTTCCATTGGTACACCATCCAAATGGCCACAATGGCTAAGTCCGGGTCAAGCCAAAGTCCAGAGCCAGGAGCTTCATCTGGGTCTCCCATATGGGTACAGAGGTCCAAGCACTTGAGCCAGTCTCCACTGCTTTCCCAAGTGCATTAGCAAGGAGCTGGATCAGAAGTGGAATAGCCAGGGGTTGAACTGGTGCCCATATGGGATGCTGGCACCGCAAAAGGCTTTACCTGCCATGCCACAGCACTGGCCAGTGAAGGGCTACCAGTTTTACCTTGGCTGTTGGCAGGATTGTGTCAGGGACCGTGCTATGGATGTTGGTTCCCAGCTCCTGGTTGTGTGACCTGGGTGGGCTGTAGACCTCTCTAAGCCTTAGTTTGCTTGCATGGCTGGATTCAGTGGCCCGTGGCCCTTGTAATTCTCTCTTATCCTAAAACTCTGCAGGCTTCTCTGTCCTGAGAGAGGGACAGTTTGCATGTCCAGGGACTAGGAATGATCTGGAAGCATCAGGGGAACCGGAAGGAGTGCTTGGCATTTTCTCTCTCACCCTGGGCCAGGGCCCAGGACTATAGTGGAAGCAGAGCTGGAGGGCTGTTGCTCAAAGTCCTGGGGACCTTGGGGTGATGGGCTCTAATCCTTCATCAAAGGCAAAGGGGGAAAGTGAGGCTTACGTGTGGTCCTGCACAGTGTCAGTGTGAAGCTGGCCCAGGTCTCCAGTCCTGCCGGGCAGTCGTTGTCTCCCAGCAGAGCGGACAGGCTCCTGCTGCTACTGTCCCCCTACCGGCCCTGCCAGCCTCTCACAACTTAACTCTGCTTGTCCATGCCTTGGGCCACAGGTACTGGAATTTGGTTGGCCCGACCTGCACACCCCAGCCCTGGAGAAGATCTGCAGCGTCTGCAAGGCCATGGACACCTGGCTCACCGCAGACCCCCACAACGTTGTTGTCCTACACAACAAGGTCAGAGTGGGGGGCAGGGTGCAAGTGCATGTGCAAATAGATGATCATGCATGTTCGTATGCCGTGTGTGTGCCTGCATGGGTATATGTATGTGTGCATGTGTACACATGTGTATTTGTGTGTATATGTGTGCATTATATGTGCTTGCACACACACCCAAGTGCATCCTTTGAGGAGTGTGTCTGGTGGCCTTACCCTTGGATCTTGTAAGTGCACTAGTCTAAGTGTACTGCTTTGCAGAGAATAGCTCTGTTCCAGGGGCACCCCCAAGAGCTGTGCCTGGGGCCTTGTGTCGCTGGCAGCACTGGATCAGCTGTGCTTCCTCTGACAGCCTGCCCCTCGGTTCATAGACACATCAGAAATCAAGGCTTCTGTGTTTGGGGCTCTTGCAGGGGAACCGGGGCCGGATAGGAGTGGTCATCGCTGCCTACATGCACTATAGCAACATCTCTGCCAGGTAAGAAGATCCTGGGGCTGCCCGTCCCTCTAAGCATTGATGCTGCCACCCCACACCCCACTCACAGCCACTCCCGTCCCTGGGAGGCAAGATAAGGGCAGAGGGTAGGAGAGACGATAAGAACTGTGCCAGAGCCACACGCTGGTTAGAAGGGGCTGCACGTGGCTCTGAGGTGGGGCAGAGGATGAGAGGGGAGAAACCCCGTCCTCCCAGCTGGCATCCTGGTGGGCAGCCTTTGGGAGGGTATGCAGGTACAGTCATGGGCACACCACCGAGCCAGCTTCAGCTGCCTTCTGTCTCCCTGGATGAACAGAGAGGGAGTCGGAAAGAAATGCTGGCTTAGATCCAGGGCCAGCAGGACCATCTAGCAGTTCTGTCCTCCACTCCCTGCCCCTGGCCAGCATGGGTGGAGGAAGTCTAGGCAATAAGCAGCAAGTGACTCCCGTTCTGCAGGGGGCAAAGGATGTGCTTGCGTATCTGGCTGTGCATCTGTTGTGTCTGCTGAGCAGCCCCAGTGCCAGGCAGAGGGGTCTGGGAGCTGGGAAACGCTAGCTACTGCCCACATGCACATGAAGCAAGTCAACCCTCTGCTCCTCTGCTTGTAGCTGGATGAAGGAAGGTTGAATCCCATGGCCCCAAATCACAGGCTGAATATAGCCCAGGCCGTGTGGAGGTGGTGCTGGGTTGGTCTTTTCCCGCAAACTTTTCCAGCACAGAATTGCAGGCGAGGAGGCCCATCCTTCTGTCGGTCCCCGGGGTTGACTGCAGAGCTGTGCAGGTCTGGAGGGAGCAGGGAGCGTGGGACCAGGACACACTGGGGCATAGCATCAGCTCTGCTCACTTTCCGGCTCTGCCCACAGCGCCGATCAAGCCCTGGACCGTTTTGCAATGAAGCGTTTCTATGAAGACAAGATCGTGCCCATTGGCCAGCCATCGCAGAGAAGGTGGGTCTCCAGGCTCACAGCCCAGCACCAGGACGCAGGCATGCACACACTCACTGTGTGTGAGAGCTGGACCGTAGACCCCTGTGGGGATGGAATGGTTGTGCCTGGGCAGAACAAAGCACCTGTGTTCAGGTGCCAGCCCAGGGAGAGGCTGTGTCCAGGGCTGCTGCCTGCCCTGGGAAATTGCAGTCATCTGCTGTTGGGCGAGCTTAAAGTCCATTTTGCAGGAAGAAGAGGCCACACGTCCCACCTTAGGGAGCCCGTAGGTCATTGAGAGAGGCAGACATTAAGCAGGTGACTGTGCAGAGAAGATGACCTCAGGAAGTGGTTGGTGCTGGGAGAGAGAAAGCAGAGAGGTGGTTGGGAGGGGAACATGAGCCCAAAGTGGAGTAATGGTGAACCCCCTTGTGACAGTGGAGGATGCCCCCATTTTCCAGATGAGAAGCCTGAGCATGGGGCAGGGCTCCTGGCGAGCAGTGGCTGAGCTGGAGTGTGCAGGAAGGCCTGGTTGTGGCACTCAACCCTGGGTGGTCACCCTCTTCCCCTACCGAGGTAGAGGTGGTACTGACCAGGTACGCTGTCAGGATCACTCTAGTAACGCTGGTACTTGGCAGAGTAGGTGTTGGGGGGACCTGTTGGCTTTATCCTGATTGGCAGAAGTGGACATGGGAGGTGGGGTCCTGTCCTGCCTCCCCTGCTGCCAGTCCTGCAACCTCCCAGCCTCTCCACACCCCCGGATGAACCCTGTGGCTCTGGCCTGCATGGCTGATGGGAGCGGTGCTGGCACAGCTCGGGGTTAACCCTGCCCTGGCAGTGGGAAGCCAAGGCAGGAAGTGAGTGTGTTCTAATTGGCACCAAGTGACTGACATGGCCAGCCCCGGGGCCAGCCATCAGAAGCTGCACCCCACCAGTCTGTGCCAAAACTGGCCAAGCCCTGGGGGAAGTTCCTCACACCCCAGCTTCTCAGGCGTTGGTCACCCTGCTGGATGAGGGGTGCCAGGATGGCAGGGATGTGTGTGATGATGGCCCAGTGTGCTTTGGACAGGGCAGGAGAGCTGAGCAGGGAGTTTGGTCAGGGGTAATTCCCAGCAACTCAGTGTGGGCTTAGACAACACATTGGGCATGTATTTGTGTGTTTTATCTGTGTCTGGTGGCCCCTATCCGTCACCGCACCTGCTCATGGGTGGGTCGCTCTGGCTGGAACTGCATGTGAAAGTGTAGCAGGTTTCCCATGCGCTGGTTGCCATTTTCCCGCCTTCCCATCCGCTTGCAGGACCTGAAGCAGCCTGAGGAGTGGATGCCAGTGGGGGAGCAGGAGGGAGGGGCTTTGCCTGCATTCATTGTCCCCCTCCTGCCCCCACACTCATTGTCCCTAGCACACAGACACATCCTGTTGGGGAGATCTGATGGGAACCTGCCATTCCGGGTTTCCGGTCTGAGTAATGGGGCTGGGGGCTGGGCGGGGGCCTGAATAGGAGCTGGCGTTGCCCATCAGATTATCTGGCTTGGGTAGTTGGAGGGGCCCCACCCAGGCGCAGGGATGGTGGCCCAAAGGCCTGGAGAAGGGCCAAGGAGCCCAGAGACAGGAGGAGAGTGGTATCCTGATCACGTGGTCCCGGTCCCCACCCTCCTGAGAGAGCTCGAGTTGGCTCCTATGCAGCCTCAGGAAGCCGCCAGACACCTCTGGCTGGAAGTGCCGAGGGATGGTGCCGAGGAAGGATTGCCCTGCAGACTGCCAGATGCCCCGGAGCCCAGACTTCTGCCCTCCTCTGTTCTCCCACATCCAGCATCTTGTGTCCTCACTGTATGTCTTTGGAGAGAGTCCTGTGACCCTTCTTGATTCTGATCTTCCCTCTGTCTGGGACAGGAGGGTGGGTTGATCCTTGCATTCTTCCTTACCAGATCTCAAAAGAATCGTGGGCTCTGACCCTAGAAATGGGGACACTTACTGAAAAGTAGTTGTCTCAAGTGCCAAGTGAAGTCACCAATGCACAGGGATGTCATATGCTTTGCTGAGCTCTTACTATTTGCTGCACTAGTGCGTGGTTGGTGGGTCTTTAGGGGTCCAATGAGGGGCTGTTGAACATAAGTGTTCACCTGCTCTGGGCTTGGTGTGAGAGTGTTGGAGGGGCCTGCTGGTCACGCAGATTGCCTCCTGTGACAGTGAGCAGCTTGAAGCCTGTGTGGGATGTGGGGAAGGAAATTTTGGTCTAGCAAGTGGATTGCTGGGCTGGGAGTTATCACTGAAAGGAAGTGTTCGTGCTCACCACCAGGGGGCACTGGAGATCTCCAAGTGGGATGCTGAACTTGCCTCAGCTCCAAGTTGGCGGGGACTTGGGGATCCCAGGTGCCAGGGAGGCCTGTGCTGGGGGCAGAAACCTCAGCTGCCAGGAGGCCTAGGGGTGGGGTGGCCAGGCTGATTGTGTGGCAGCCCAGGCCTCCTCCCTGACGCCACCGGCCTCTCCTGGCTGCAGGTATGTGCACTATTTTAGCGGCCTGCTCTCCGGCGCCATCAAGATGAACAACAAGCCCTTGTTTCTGCACCACGTGATCATGCACGGCATCCCAAACTTTGAGTCTAAAGGAGGTACCTGCTGCCAGCCTTCTAGCTTCGCTTCCCCTCCCTTCTCCTTCCCCCCATTCTTTTACCTCTTTCTTTTAAATAACGACAACAACAATAATAAAGAGGCAGCTTTGAGTGCTTAAAAGAAAAACACACACACAGATGTTGCAGAGTTCTTGGGCACGCACTGGGCCTGAAGTTCGGCACCCTCTGAACTCTATGGCATGATCATCTGTCCACTTGAAAAATGATTCCATGCTTCAAGGCGTATGATGTTGCTCAGTGCAAAAGGCCTTGCAAATGGAAAGTCAGCGTTCCCATTTCCTTTTTCTACCTCTCCTCCCCACCCCCTTCCTCCCTTCCTTTCTTTCCTCCTCCACCCTTTCCTCTCTCTCCCTGCCTCTTGTGCTCATTTCTGCTGTTTTTGCTAACCGCATCCCTCCCTGACAGGTTGCCGGCCGTTTCTCCGCATCTACCAGGCCATGCAACCTGTTTACACATCTGGCATCTAGTAAGTGGGCCATGGGAACGAGGGCCTGGGGCAGCCAAGGGCCAGGGTCAAGACCCAGGCCAGGGGGTGAAAGTACAGAGCCAGTGAGGTTTCCCAATAGCTCTGCAGCAGGGGACAGCAGGGCGGGTTCCCCTTTTCCTGGCCAGCCCCCAGTGGCTCTTTCTTCTCTGCCCAACTCTCTCCCTTAGCAACATCCCAGGAGACAGCCAGACCAGCATCTGCATCACTATAGAGCCAGGGCTGCTGTTGAAGGGAGACATCCTGGTGAGTGTGGCTCGCCATCTGTCTCGAGCCCTGCTACCATCTCTCTCTTCCTGGCCCTTCTCCTGCCTTGAGACCTACCTAGCTGCCCCTGGCAGGTGGCTAGCCTGGAAACCATGGGCCCCAGAGCTCCAGCTCACACAGTGCTTGTCCACTTCCCTGCCCTGGAATGGCACATCCCTTCCCTTTTGACCCTGGGCTCCGCTTCTGTCCTGGAGCTTCTCCTGGGAAACACCACTCAGCATGCCCTATTGCCTCCTGGCTTCCAGTGGGCACCAAGGACTGCCATGATCTAGTCTCTGCCATGGCTGCTTCAGTGCACATCTGAGCTTCTTCCTACCATCTTGCCTCATGTGCGGGAACCTCCCGGGAGGACACTTTGGTCCCTGCAGGTCAAGGCTGACCTCCAGCTCTCTCCAGTCTCCCTCCCCAGTGACCTCTGAAACCCTCTTGGGTGTGGTTGACATCTCCCTGGCTGTGTTTGGGGTGATCCTTGGGGGCTCTTGGCCTCGGGCCCCTGACTGACTCTGCTGCTTCCCCTCCAGCTTAAGTGCTACCACAAGAAGTTCCGCAGCCCAGCTCGAGATGTCATCTTCCGTGTGCAGTTCCATACCTGCGCCATCCATGACCTGGGGGTTGTCTTTGGAAAGGAGGACCTCGATGATGCCTTTAAAGGTGGGTTCGTAGGGTGGGCTCGACTTAGCAGAGCCCCAGTCTGAGAGGCTGTGACAGCCTCTCCACCTTCCCTGAACTGTGTGGTCTGCTTGGGCTCAGGTGTGTTCTTGAATAGTGGTAGCAGAGAAAATGGGAGAGAATTGAGAGTGGGGTGCTCTGGAATTCAGGTTGTGATGTGGAGTGGATGCAAATTGCTGTCCCTCCCCTGGCCATCACCCTGTTCCTTGCCCTGTGTCTCTTCCTGGTTTTCCCCATCTGTTCCACATGTCCTGTTGGTGACAGTCACTTTGCCACCCTTCCTTGGGTTTCTGTTTTGTGTAAGGCTCAGTACTGAGTGCTGGGATGGTGAAGGATGGTGACTGCCTTGGCGAGCTGAAGTGTGTTGCTGAATGGGAAGGCTGAGCGGGCAGGGAGCATTTCTCTCCTAAAGTGGGAGAGCAGTAGGAGACAGGTGGCAAGAGAAGAAGTGTTCAGGGAAAGTCATTTGCTTCTTTTATCTGTTTGAAGTTTTATCTATGTTACATTGAAGCTCAGATCATTAAAATACACATGTCCACCCATTCATCCACCTACCCACCCAACTCATCCTCCATCCATCCATCCATCCATCCATCCATCCATCCATCCATCTATCCATCCATCCATCCATCCTTCAACTCACCCAACTACACACCCATTAATCCATTCAACTAGCCATCCATCTACGCAATCATCCATCATCCTACTCAACCTATCCACTCATCTGTCCACATATTCCTCCCATCCATCCATACAATCACCCATCGATACATCCAACAATTCATCTGTCCATCTCCCCATTCATCCACCCACTCATTTATCTGTCCATCTACTCCCAACCCAATCAATTCATCTTTCCACATATCCCTCCACTCAAATCTCCTCTTTCTCCTTCCTTCCGTACATCCATAATTCATCCACACAGCCAGCCACTTATCCATCATCCACTAATCTGTTCCCTCTCTCTACCAACCATCACTGTGTGTCTGTATGTACCAGGCATGTGCAAGGCCCTGCATGCAGACATGACAGTATGAAGGATGTATATATGCACAGATACCATACTTGCTGTAACTCCTCTTCCTACAAGCTATGGTTGGCGATTGGTGCCCAGACTGAGCTTGCACAGAGAGCAAGGAGCAGGGCCAGGCCTTGAGGAGGGAAGGCCTCTCCATGGGGAGCCTGTCAGGACTCAGTGCAGAACAATGCTTCTGTGATGGGTCTTACTAGCGTTGGAGCTGGGAGGGCACGTGGAGGATGCTGCTGTAATTGTGAATGCTGCCAGTATTCATGGAAAAGAAAGATCTAGCCAACAGAGTAAATGTGGGATTGGGAAAGGCAGAGGGAGGGTCACATATTTCCCATTTGCATATAATGGGAAGTCAGGAAAATGGAGAGACTTAATGTTGGTGCTTAGAATGTAAAAGGTAGTTGGTAGAAAAAAAAATAGATATAATAACCTAATGAGAATTAAGAGGAAAGAAGGTGGGAAGAGTGTTAATGGGCCAAATTGGTCTTCATGGTGGTGAGTTGGTAGAGATTATTTAAAATTCATGTCTAGAAATAGTGGCTATTTGAAGAGGCTTGTAGATAAGTGACAGTGGACCAAAATAGAGATGGTTAGAAATGGTGACCTCTGGCAAGGAGGGTAGGAGCTGGAGTGTGCAGATTATTTGTGTATAATCCCATGCATGTGTGTTTGTTAACATAGATACATCTTAATCATCATGTATACAAGTATTTCTTGTGTTCTAAAAAGCAAGTGGTCTGTTTTTTGGGAATTCATTGCCCATTTTTGTCTCCCTTGTCTGTCTGTTTTTGCCCCAGATGATCGATTTCCAGAATATGGCAAAGTGGAGTTTGTCTTTTCTTATGGGCCAGAGAAGATCCAAGGTATGCCCCGAGTTAGCACTTTTCTCCATTCCCCCACTCCCCGGTCTGTACTACACTGGCCCACTTGCCACTGTGTCAGGAAAGGCAGGCCAGCAGAAAAGGATCTGGGTGTTTGAGTGGACCCCTAGCTAAACATGAACTAGTGACATAAACTGCGAAAAAGGAAAGCAGACACAGAGGCCCTGGGCTGGACAAACAGTTCTAGTTTCCTTAGGTCATCATCCTGTTAATAGTCTGAGACTGAGAGGGTCATGGTGGGGGGAGGAAGGGGTTGGGGGACACTCACAGGCTCTGGAAGGACCCGGAGGAATATTTCTGAACACTGAGGTGTGGCAACCCAAAGGCCATTTAATAATAGCCTGTGGGCCTCTTGGTGGCTTGTGTGGGGAGACCAGTTGTCCGTCTATTTGAGCGCAGGCTTCAGGGTGATGGAGCTGGGCTCCAGGCAGGCTGAAGATGGCCCTGCCTGGTTGGGAAGGTGGTGCACCCTAAAGGCCTGTCTGGGAGCCAGGCTTCCGATGGCCAGGGAGAGTTCCCCACTTCTCCCCTCGGGTTCTGTCTTGAGCGGAGAGCATCCTGGGTGTGAGACAAGGGAGTGCCTGACGTGACTTTACCATCGAGGCTGCGTTGTCCTTCCCTCTGTCCTGCCCCCACTCCCACCCCAGGGTGACTCTGACACCCAGCCAGGGAGCCCTCCCAGGTTTCCCTAGAGCAGGATGTGCATCTCCAACCCTCAGTGTGTGTCCTGACGTTCCCCCTGTGACCCAGTGTGAGCCTCTTCAAGAATGTGCAGGAAACCAGAGCCCTGGGTTCTCCAACCAGCTCAAGCCATGGGTCCCTCCTTCCCCTCCTCAGGCGCAGAAAATTGAAACTCCCGCAGGGGTTGGGAGGAGGCTGTGGGTTTACTGTGTGTTCCACCTGCTGACCCATGGCTCCTCTCCCCTTACCCTGCCCTGTTCACCCAGGCATGGAACACCTGGAGAACGGGCCCAGTGTGTCTGTGGACTACAACACCTCTGATCCCCTTATCCGCTGGGACTCCTATGACAACTTCAATGGACAGCGAGAAGATGGCATGGAGGGTAGGCGGCCACCGGGGCCTTCTAGCCCTTCCCTTCTTTTGATTTGCTTCCGAGCCAGATGGGTTCAGAGGGGAGAGAGAGCAGTGAGCATGTGTAGCTGGGTGGAGGCAGAGGCAGACAAGCAGGTGTATTTGTGAAGTGTGAGGACAGAGCTTGCGACAACAACGTTGTGGCCACGTACACTGTCAGGGCCAGGTGAGTCCCATGGATGGCGAGTGATCTGTCGGTGGGAGAAAGGGTTTTTAAGAACCGCTTGTGGTCTGGGAGGGTTGCCCAAAGGACAGTGGACACCGAGAGCCCCCACTCCTGCTGTGTACCCATGCCCGCCATGGGAGTGTCTGCAGGCTTGGTTTCTGTGGGGTCAGGACACTGGGAATGCAGCGACGCAAGCCCTCAGAGCCAAGTAGCTTTCATCAGGAGCCAATGCAAATGTTTGACAGCTGGCAGTGAACCGATCACCTCTGAAATGTGCAGAGGAAGCTGTGGAATGGAGATGAATATGTGTTTCATTTCACTCCCAAACCCCACAATGACGCCTTGCGGTCAGCTGCACTGCGGGATGTTTCAGCAAGCTCCATGTGCCCTGTGGGTGTATTTAGTTGTGGCTCCCTGGATGTGTGTGTGATGGGGTAGGTGTGGGGACTTACACCCAGGATTCTGGAGGTGCCGCCCTTCTCTGCTTTGGTTATGGGACCTCAGAAGATGGGAACAGGAGGATGCTTAGATGGTTGTTTGCATTTGGGGTAACTGAGGCAGCACTCGCTTACTCAACCCTGTAACCCAAATGTGCCACACTGGCCTGCAGCTTCTCCTCTCAGCTCAGTGTAGCTGGGCAGACTGGGGTGATGGGCACCCTCTCCCTGCACTCTCAGGACCACCCCGTCTCCTGTATCCCATGTCGAGGACTTGGATTTGGGGCCTCCCTCTGAGTCTTTTCAACCTTTTCTTGGCTGAGGATTCTCCCTCCCACCTTGCAGAGAGCGGCTCGTCTGTTTTGGACAGGTTGATGTTGCTGTGACAAAGGGCCCTAGAGGTCCAAGAGAGGTATGGGATTGGCTCCTGGTACAGGCCTCATGGCTTGTTAGCAGGAGGGGCCAGGGAGAGAGAGGGAAGCAAGAGAGTGAGCCAGGGAAATCCAGGTGTATAACAACATGCATGTAAAGAATCCGGTCCCAACATACTGAACCCACTCTGAAGAGATGAGTGTGGACCAAAGGATGGCGGTCACCCCTCATGACCTCACCACCCCTCACAATGCTCCCCTTCTTTTCTTGAAATATTGATTTGTTTTGGAGTTAGAGAGATGGAAAGAGAGAGACACATGCAGAGAGAAATCTTCCACCCAGTGGGTCACTCCCTAGGTGGCTGCAGCCTCCGATGCTGCAGGAGCCAGGGACCTCATCCGGGTCTCATATGTGGGTGCAGGGACCCAAGAACTTGGGCTGTTCTCTGCTGCTTCCCCAGGTCATTAGCATGGAGCTGTATCATGAACTGGCACCTATACAGGATAACAGCATTGCAGATGGAGGCTTTACCCGCTGTGCCAAAACACCAGATCCTATACTCCACCTCATAAAAGTTCTACCACCCTTGGGTGCTGGTGCACTAGGAGCCAAGTTTTCAGCACATGAACCTTTGGGGCACAAAACCTGGCATCCCCAAAGCACTCCTATTTTCCCCCTGCAGTTCTCTCCCCTGGCACTGAGCACCCCAAGAGAATGCTACACCCTGCTCCCTCCGCGTGCTGCTCAGCTCATTCTGGGGATGTTTGCATTTTTACCAAGAACACTTGGCAACTGGGAGGAATTTGTAATGTCTTCCCATCTCTCCCTGGGGCAGATTCTGCACGCTGATAAATGTAAAAACATTAAGTAAACCAGAAAGTGCTGGGCAAATAAAAGGTAAAATCATTCAGGGCAAGAAGAGTTGGGGAGGATGCGGCTGTGGGCAGGAAGGAGCGGACGAGGCCAGGAGACAGGCGGGGCCGGCGCCAGAAGCCCTGGTCCGTCCTCTCTTTTCCAACCCATTCCCTGGGGCAGGGCGATGGAGGCTGCTGACCTTTGGGCTAGCTAAAGGTCATGGGGGACAGAGGGGCTCCTGTCTGCGGGCTGGGAAGCTGGCCCTCCGCCTGGCCTGTGCTCTACCCTGGCCTGGCCTGACCGGGGGCTGGGAGACATGAGGCTGGGGAGAGGCTGCCCCCTGCGCTCCCTGCTGTTCACCCCGGGGATCGGGATGTGAAGCTGGCACAGTCCTGGTGCATGGGCAGTGCCCACAGCCCTATCCTGCCAATGCTTGGTGGCACTCCTGGAAGGTTCTAGGTGGAAGCATTTCCCTGGCCCACCATCCTGAGAAGGAAGCAGAAGGCCTGTGTCTGTCTTGCTGGTTAAGGGCAAGTCCCCATTCCTCAGTTTGCCCATGTGCTAGCTGAGACCAGGGCACCTAAGCCCCAGGGCTCCAGGGGTCTTGGAGATGGCCTGGGTTCCACATCCCAACCCTGCCTTTACCAAAATAGGCAAGAGGAGCTCCATCTCTACCAGCCGCATGTGCTTGGGCCAGGTGTTGTTAGCCTTTCTGTCATCTTAATCTGTCACTTGTGGAACTGGGATGGTGATGTCACCTGATTATTGTGGCAGTTTTTAGCACAGTGGCTGAGAGTCTGACTTTTGACAAGATGCTTCCCTGAGTGCCTCCATTTGCAGGGCTGTGAAATGGGTTCATGTGGGTGCTCTAAGTGAAGAGGAGCTGCCTGTGGTGTTGGCTTGTGAATCAATATGGGTGTATCTGTCAAGGCCACAGGGGTTCTGCTGATATGGCTGAGGAAGGGTTTGGAGTTGCCAATCCCCAGCCTTGGTGCCAGGCCCTCATCTAATGCTCACAGGGTCCCAGTGGAGAAACTAGGCCCTGGAGGGGCTGCAAGCTCATCAAGGGCCGGTCTGCCTATGATGTCACCAGGACCCCCTCTCTGGGCACCTGCCTGGGTCCTCTTGTGTGTGTGTGTGTGTGGCCTGCCTGTGTGAGAGAGGAAGGGACTGGAGGAAGTAAGTGCTGAAGGGAGTGGGGCCACAAGGAGACCACAGGCTCCCATGTGGCAGGCAAGTGCATAAATAGGACTTCACAGCATGCAGCAGCTGAAGCCCCCTGCTCCCACCACAGAGCAGGAATCTGCAGGGAGGAGCCAGCCTCCCCCGGCTTGTGGGGGCCACAGTACTTCGGATGAGACAGGGCCATTTCCGTGTGCGTTTCAGGCCAGCCGCAAGGAAGCAGTGGCAGCAGAGGCCAGGCTAGTTTCTCCTGAGGCTGCTCAGCGGTGCCGAGGGGAGGGCAGGTGTCCCTGAGCCAGGCAGCAGAAGCAAATGCCACCTCTGGCTTGTGTCCTCCTGAGTGGCCCCAGTCCTGTGTCCATTCTCCTCCCCTTTCCCAGCAGGTGGGCAGGCATGAGGGGTAGCTAGCCCTGGCATCCGAGCATGTGCCATTTCCTCTCTGCTGCAGAAGACCTCCCGGGGACCCTGTGCTTAACTTGACATCTGACATCTGCAGTGCCCTCAGCCTCAGGCTCAAGTTTACTACACGTATACTGAGGCCCAAGAGGGAAGGGACTCGTCCGAGGGGCAGGAACCCCTTCCAACCCACCATGTATGGAAGCCCCACGGCTGTTAGCTTAGCTCAGGTGGGCACCAGTGCCACTGGAATGCTGGGGAGAGAGAAGGAGTCGGCAGGGGATCTGACTCCAAGTCCTTGGCATCCCTTTAAGCCCAATCTTAAAACCCATTCCGTATATGGATCTGGGGCATAGGAGGACCAGTCCTGCCTCACATACCCTGATTATGTGCAAGAAGATGCCCTAGGCCTTGGTCCCGATCCGGGAGGAGGTGTACAGCTGGCGGCTCAGCACTCTGGCTGATGGCACAGTTTGCAGTTCCAGGAGCCCCATTAGTGCTTTGGCCTGAGTTCTGAAGCCCTATGCCCAGCTCCTGGCTTCCCCAGCAGCTCGCCTGGGCTGCCCAGAACAGACTCCAGATTCCTCTAGAGCATTCGTTCCAGGGCCAGGCTTGTGGGAAGCAGGCACCCTGGCCTGGTCACATGGGCACCTTCTGTTCTCTGAGAAGACCAGAGGCCTGAGTCATTTGCTGTTCACCTGTTCACTTACACACTGCCCGATGCTGAGTTGCTTAGAGCTTCATGTGACAGAGAGGGGCTGGGGTGCATGACTGTGCTGGGCCAATGAGGAGTCAGGGCAGCAGGTTGCCCAGGGCCAAAAGACAGGCTGAGGGGAGAACAGGATGGGTCCCTAGCTGGGTCTCCCTGGGCAGTGGCCACCAGCTCAGCTTTGCTTCTAGGGGCTGTTGACAAGGTAGTAGGCCCTTGTAGCCTGTAGCCCTGTCCTTACTGTCCCAACCTACACTCAGGAATCCCTGTGAGCATGTGCAAGGATGCACTATTGGGGACTAGAACTGGTGCCCATATGGGATGCTGTCACCAGAGACAGCAAGGTTTGTATGCCTTACCACCTGTTTTTCTTATTGGCTCCTACCTGTGTGTGTGTGTACGCGCGCGCGTGTGAGTGTGTGTGTGTTCCCCTGACTTAATGCATTTTAGGCTTGCGGAGAGCAGAAAAAAGGTGCATGCCTGGCACTATAGTGAGGCTGCATGGGCATGCTTTGTGTGGAGACAGAGGCACAGGCGAGAAGACGCTTGAGTTCTTTGCCAGTGGAAGGTTCCAGAGGTGTGCAGTGCTGCCTGTCTTGCTTGTAGTGCCTGGGATAGGGTGGAGAATCAGAGGTTCTGGAAACCATGCAGCTTCCTCTGGCTGGGCTCAAACTCTGTTCAGGTACACACATCCCTTTCTTCTCCACAGCCCAGCCAGTGCTCACTCTCTGCAACAACCTCCTGCTTCAACTTTGCATGCTGCAGGTGGCTGGTGAGATCTGAGAACCCACGCCAGCTCTCTCTCTCCCGGTCCCTGCCAACGGGCCACTGAGGGGGCTGGTGTAGCCCACATA